GTTGATTCGCTTCGAAACACGACTGCACTTGTGTAGTGTTTTTTTGACTTGTTGATGTAACATCCTAAAATAAAGTCTATATATATATATATATATGTGTGTGTGTGTGTGTGTGTTGAATTAAATCCGACAAATATTTTAATATATTTTACGTTTATACGTTTTTTTATGAATACCACTTATTTGAGTAAAAGTTGTTTTAATTAAACAGTATTATGAATGGTTAACAGCAGATCAGGCCAAATAACATTTTCCATATAGGATACGGGTTCGATTCCTGTCGGAGGACGCATATTTCCCACAAATATTCAGGCCGGTAAATATAATTAAAACGGTTTAATTAAAACAGAATATTTACTCAAATAAGGTGCATCCATAAAAATAACGTATAGACAATATATATATATATATATATATATATATATATATATATATATATATATATATATATATATATATATTTCCGTGACTGTACTATTGTCTTCCTTTTCATATCAGCATAAGTGACCGGCAATTCTTTTATATTTCTTACTAATTATTGTATTTAGTTTAACTTTAGCATTTTTCTTCTCACCTCTGCTCTCTAATATTTTTTCTACAATTAGCACATCTCGTGATCTCAGATTTCCTAATAATTCAGCACTTTTAATATTTTTTCTTATTGCTAATTAATAAATTTAGCTTAGTCGTTTTTCTGGCGTCTCTTATCTAAAGATTAATCGAAAATTCCATTTTAACGCTGGAAAAACGACAAGACAGAATATCTCCTTTTAAAAAACTGGCTTCACCCCATGCAAGGCAGTAAAGCCACTAAGACACAAGGGTTTACAGGATGTGGCAGAATTAGGAACAGAAACTTTAAAAATGAGCTGGAAGAGAAAAGAGTAATCAGGAGGACAGTAGATAACGATTGACATTGCATTAAATTTTTTAAGATCAAAGTTGGCTGGAAAAGCATGGAGATTGAAGAGACTTCCACAAGCGAAAAGTGCGAGAAATGAAACTGTTAGCATCAAATTTACAGCTACATCTAGCCAGCTCAACTGTAAATCGATGAGGTCTAGACGCCAGTCTAGTACTGTGCTTAAATTAAAAAAAAACTCTAGGTACCATAGTGGAGAGCTCATCTGAGCAATTACCATGAAAATATATACACAAAAGACACAGAGAAGCAATCTTACGGCGATGAGAAAGTGACTGAAACCGAGTTGCCAGATCAGAGCCGATAATATTACAGATTTTTCTTTAGATTTTATCAAGGAGTTCAAGATAAATAGCAGGGGCACCGGACTATATGTATCAGCAATAAGTGTGGATGAATGGTAGACTTATAGATATGTACGATAGATTATGGAGAGAAAAATTGTCTCGAACAACACAGTGAACCAAGTTTCTCAGCAACTGACCTCGCAATGGATTCAATGTAGTCTTTGTAAGGATAGCTACCAAAGAAGAAGACATCAGAAAACGGAATGCTCAAGAGACGAACAGCCACAAAGAATAATTACAATCAGATTTTATAGGGATACAAGTTTACACGTGCTGTTAAAATCTGACAGAATATTCAAGTAAATTTAAAACTGCATCTCTATCTATAAAAGGCAGTATGTGTGTGTGTGTGTGTGTGTGTGTGTGTGTGTGTGTGTGTGTGTGTGTGTGTGTGTGTGTGTGTGTGTGTGCACGGCCGCAATTTTCGACGGATTTGCACCAAGTTAGTGGAAAGGACAAGACCAACTTTGCATTTCCCAACTCCCATCGATAGTGGAAATAATCGATTTTTTCATGCTTCTACGGGAGTTTTCATGTAGTCTGCGGCCATTCTGTACTGGCCAGCGTGAGAGCCAATAGCTGGCTGCCACGAATAGGCAGGAAGATTCTATAGGCCAGCGTGAGAGCTAACAGCTGACTGACACGAATGTTAACTAGCATGCTAGCATGCAAAAAGAAAATCGATAGCTGCATTCGTCACAAGTGGGAAAAGTTTAAATCTGCATGGCACTTTACTCCAATTGGCTCATTCGCTTGCTTAAACTCAACGTTGATTCCGATTCTGCATAACTGGGTTGGGTGTGAAAAAGTATTTATTGTTAACATTCTTTTATCATTCGGTTTTTCCAGTTACGAGTTCTTTTTTATAGCTGATCGTTTTGTGTTCATTTTGTTTAGTTCTTTTTTCGTAACAGATTTAATGTTTAGTATAAGGCTTAGAAAAAAATTGCAGTGTGAGATAGGCAAGAAGTAAGGCATGTAGCAACATCAGCACGGCAAAGGGCACACCTTTAAAGGCAAGGAAGGGCAAAAATATTTTAAGTCAAGTGAGCTGTATGAGTCGTAAGATTTTTGAATCAAGCACGGGCAACGCCGGGCCATGCTGCTAGTTATGCATATAGTACTGTTGGGTTAATTTTCCTTCCTCTTGCCTAAATAGTATTCACCCCGCTTAACTGGCCAGGTAACCCTCGACAACCAACCAACGGGGCCTCATTTAAACAGTTTTCGGGTGGTCGGCACTAAGTTAAGGCGCACGCCTAACGCGTGTTCAGACACAACCTTTTTCAAGTGCCGAACTTGTGAGTAAAGACAACTTTTGTAATATACACTAGTTTTCCTTTTCAGTGTCAGAAAGAAAAAATGTAATACATTTCAATACTTTGTTAGCATGTTCACTTTCTAGAAAATTAAAGCTTCTTTGATGATGATCCGTTTTTTCCCGCGTCATTTTTATAGTTTATTTCAAATATTTGGATAATTTCGACTGCTAGATACCACTAAGTTCACCCAATATACATAGCTAGGTATTCATTTCCTGAGTATGCCCATCTGATAGGGTCACCATCTAATCCCTGTTGCAGACATCTGCTCAGGCAAATTTGTGTCCAACAGCCATAGAGCCAACCTGAAAGTATGCTGACCGGACCTTAGTTACAATTTCTAGGGAAGAAAAGATAATCGGGTGTGATCATTAGTTAAACAAGACCAGTACGTTCAAATCCTCGGTCACGATGACTTGTGACTTCGTTCTAACACGATTACAGTTTCGTCTACGCATTGTTCATCACAAGGATTGAGGTCAAGCTGTAGTATGGTATTAATATTTCTATGACAAAATCGCTAACTAGGATCGTCCCACCAGATAAATATTATCAAGAAATCCTCTCTTTGACAAATTAATTATGATGAGTATTTGTTCCCAAGTACTTAAGAAAAAAACAAGCGTGAACTTTGAACTTTTAATTATAGAACGCTGCAGAGGCAGTAAAAACGAACAGTTGAAATATTTTTCAATTTACAATAACACATATACATACTCACAGAATAACTTAAGCACTGAAGATGGGACTGGAAGTACTTAGGAAAATAAAAGCTATTTGAAAGAAAATGTTGGTATTTTTCTTAATCAATTTTATAAGGCTACCAAGAAATTAATCCGTGAACTTGAAAGGATCAAAATGAAAACTAATCGACATGATGAGTCTCAAATATTTAACCAAACTTCTTCGAATGAAAATATGAAAATATATATATCATAATTAAGCAATTCATCGAGTCTAGAAGAAACCTCAACCGAATACAGAAAGCACTGGTCGGCGGTTTCGTCCTATATTTGGAACTTATCAGCAGTGTGCATCCACTACCACGAATTGAAACCCGGACAGCACACGTCATACCAACTGTACCAACAGGCCTCGGCGACAAAGAGGTAACGAATTAAACTCGACATAGCGCCGCTCGTTTACATATTCCATAGTGGAACTCAACTCATCCAAGTTTCCCTTACCCATAAGACTGTGCCCCCAAGAGCCACGAATACTATCCTCAAGCCGCTCCATCCAGAGCATTAGAAGCCGGTTCAAGCAAGGATATACAGTTGAGAGTCCCAAACATAGGACGAAACGGCCATGCAGCGCTTTCTGCGTTCTGATGAGGTTTCTTCTAGACCCGATGAATTAATTATAATTATCGCAAATAATATACAGTAACTTAGTTCTAAGAATTAAACAGCCAGACTACCCACACATGATTTATACACAGAACTGCTTCATATAGTGGGCCACAAGATTCCCAAACGAGCACTGGTAGGTTTTGAATTAAGAGTCGTCCTTTTCCTAGACCGGTTGCCACCCAAGGCTGTCAGGCTATTTACTGGAAGAAAATATGGAATCATACTTTTCCCACGTAAGTGAATGTAACTAAGGGTAACCCACACTATATTCCGTGGTCTTGGGCTGTCGCCCGAGAGCCTGAAGAGAAGATAAAATTGTGTATTTGGGAAACAATCTCTCTTTTATACGAGAGCCATGACTACTAGAAATTAAGGAGGATTTGCGATAATCATAATTAATTTCTTCTAGACTTGATGAATTACTTAATTATGATTATCTCAAATCCTCCTTAATTTCTATCACTTATATATATATATATATATATATATATATATATATATATCCCTCATTTCTCGTGGGGATGGTTTTAGGAATACACGCAGGTAATATGTAATGGGTCATCATGAATATGTTACGCGGGGTTCATGGCTGCTATATTTAACAGTCCTCCCACAAGGAATGTATGTGGCACAAGGCCGAGTTTAACGTGGGTTTCTCCGAGCTCGTAGGCTCGGCCAAAAATATTCCCTTTGAACCCGTATAAACGGGTTCAGGGACTGTCTACCTACCCGGACGAAATTTTGCCCTGCGGCAAAGCTTCGTCCGAGTCCCTCTCTACCGAGGCTAAGAGTTGAACAGTTGAACAATATATTCGACTCTTCTTGTGACTGCAATTAGAATAAAAGATCTCTGGACGATGTTCAAAGATCACCGGATATAATGTGCATCTGAGGATAGCCGAAGAACATATCGGCTGAAATACTGAGATAAAACTAAATAAAATTAGAATGCTTGCCTAATACATACGATAAGGAATGTACTTAATGTTAACATCAAAAGCAAGCAGGCTTTATGTTTAGCACGAAGTTTCATTAGTAGTCCACTTTATATAAGGGCTTACGGCCATATCTCGTTGAAATACCAGTTCCCGTATGATCACCTAAGTTACGCAATGTCGTGCTTGATTAATACGTAGATGGGTGATCGCTTGGGAATCCAAAGTTCTGTAAGCTTGCATGTGCGGGTGGTGTAATGGTTTAATGGCTCGGAATTGTTAATCGGAGAGTCTAGTTCCAATTCCATTTGTGCGCAAATACCCTTGGGAAAGGTTTGAATCCACCACTTCACCCGCTGGCTATGGATTAATTAGTAAAACTTGTATCACTAAATCATTATTATTTCCAAAGATAAATTCTTACACTCTGAAAACATTTCTGTCTTTAAATAATGGGCAAATGATGGAAAAATCAGTAGAAACTGAATCAATCAGTCAACATTTTTACATTCTTATGATTGATTCGTTTTCTACAGATTTTTCAATCATTCTTAAGCTGAAAGAAAACGCTCATAATTTCTAAATAAATAAAAGTATTAAATATCATATTTGTTATGACCTCGTCGCCAATCTGTTATGGGATGTGGACTAATCGTAACGAGAAACAGGGAATTAACTCGAATAAAGTGTCTCCCGTGTGTGTTATGTGAAGATGGACACTAGTGGTTGAAAGATGTTGCTTTTAAAGTGTGTCTGATAAATACGTTTATTAAGGCAAAATTGAAATAATAACAGCATAGAGATGCTCTATATAACATAACATTTATTAAGAATACGTACAAGTGGCTTCTCTTACTTGGACTCAGCATGAATTGAAATTACATGTGTGATAGTTCAGTTGCCATGTTCGAAACCGAGACGAAATCTCTAATACTTGGAGATTAGAAATCTGCTAAGAGACTTAACATAGTAAGTTTAGAGTCATCTCTTATTTTATAACTTTAAGTGCCAAATGAAGGTTTTGTTACTTTACCTGTTAAATGGCAAAACTACGACAATTACCTAATGGTCCCCTTTTTTTAAAAAATCTGCGCCTTGTCTTGATTTTGTTTTACTCAAACTGTTGTGATTAATATCAGTTTTCCAACAATGCCATGCTGCCTCTGAGAAATCTGTTATTCTATTCTTGGAATGTAAACGTCAACGAAAGAAAGAACATTGACGCTGAAAGTGTTTTTTTTATTCCATGTCCTTTCTGGACATGTCTCTCCACAGATTCCTTCTTTTTTTGCTATTTATTCTTGTGAAAGTTGTTTCTCCTTTTCTCTACAGTTTTTAATCAGAGTCGTCCTTCCTCTGAACTGGCTGCCGCTCAAGTTAATGTAAATGGCTGGAAATCCCAAGAGGAGATGGATGAAGTAGAAGCCGATCCCCATAACTAGTGTGACGTCGTCCCCCGGTCGCAGCGCCAACTGTGACGTTCTATCCTGATCTACCACGGCGCCAGTTGTGACGTCCTCAAACAGCACCACTTGTGACGTCTTCGCCGCGGCGCCAGCTGTTCGCTCCTCGCTGCTCCGTCCGGGTGTCGCTGCTCCAAACGTGACGTCCGCCTGTCGCGTCAGTCGTGTTGTCTCGTCCTGTGACGACCAACTGGTTTGGTATCGGTCGCAGCACCCAAATGTGACGTTCTAACCTTTTGGTGATTCGGATGGGAATCTGGTTAGATTCGATATCAGCCTCGTCGTTCCCAACTCGCTTCCAACGCCTAGTTACCAAAGTAACTGCATTGATCTCCAGTCTGCCTACCCATGTTGTGAATTGATCTAAGACAGACGAGATCAAACAGTGGTTGGGGCCGTAATGCAAATTGAGTTCAACGGGGGTGATAACACACAAATATGCATAAAAGAAAAGAAAATGAAAACTCCAAAAGTTCAAAGTATCAAAGAAAAAGGTAACAAACTTTATGTCTAGTTGTTCGATACATAGGACTGCATCTATCTCCCGACCCGTTCTGTGGATTGTGACACGTCGTTTTCGCTAGGCAAGTTTTAACGCTTCAAGTTGTTTGCTCTCTAAGAAATTTGTGTTTCGGTGTGTCTTTGGACGAAAGTCGAAAAAAACTTATTTCGGTGGTCTGGTCCTAAGTCGCTCTTCAAAATAATTGTTCTTGGTTGAAGAGGATTTCGGAATTTTGCGTGAATCTTGGTCAGCTATCTCGAGGCGTCTTCAACTCTGGAAACTGGAGCTCGAACTCTCTGGACACTCATCTCTGCCGCCAGGGCCCGAACTCTCTGGACACTCATCTCTGCCGCCAGGGCCCGAACTTTCTGGACACTCATCTCTGCCGCCAGGGCCCGAACTGATTTCTGCCTGTTGGGGCCTGGCTTTTATTGACGCCGACCAAAACCGGGGTGGGTCTGTTGGCGTCCGGGGGTTCCTCGATAATTCTAAATACATATCCACCTCTTTTATTTCTGGTTAGGGATTTTCCACTCTTTTCCATTTTTGGGAACTTTTTCTCACTCCCACTTTCTCACCATACTTCTGAGGGGCGTGAACTGCCCTTCCCACTTCTTCGTAGCAGCTTCTCATACTTATACTCTGGGTGGGGCGTCGACAGCCTTCTTCGTGCGTCACATGATCACTCTCGGCCAATAAGGTCTTGGTCGGGTATCTTTCCTCCTCCTTCGTGCCTCACGTGATCACCACTTGACCAATGATGTCTTAGTCGGGCGTGAACAATCCGCGGCTTTGTTTCGGAAAAAAAAATACCTTGCTTAACTAAAAAAAAATTAATTATCCCTTCTCTTTCCTTTTTCTTCCTTTCAAAATCGCCGTAATCATTTCTCTAGTCACGAACGGATAATATGACAATTCTTTGTTCAACACGTGGCGTTTGTCAGGTAGTTTATCGCTAATTCATCAAGATGGTTGGTTTTTCCGACATGGCCTCAGAAAAGAATTATCCCCAAAAATTTCAGTCAGTCTGTCGTCTCCAAGGAAGAAAGAAAAACATTTCTGGTTCCCATTTATTTTCCTTCGGTACATGTGTCTGATAACATAATTTTATTATCGCAGGGCAAAGTTGTTTTGTTGAAAGGAATTCGGTCAGCGCTCTGCTTGTGTGGGATTTAATTTTCATATCTGTCCAAAGTCCTTTTTTAGTGGCCTGTTTCTCGTTACTTATCGAAATAGTATTTTCACTTGAATTTTTCCTGGGCCAGTGGTCTAGCCATTCGTTTACATACCTAGATAAAATAGCCGTTATCAAAACACATCTGGTTCCTTCTTTCTTTTCCTTTTCTTTTTTACTCAGAAATTCCCTGTCATTGTAATGACACACTTTTTCACTTGTTACTTATCAATATTTTCATTGTCTCTTAGGCCATGTGTGTGGCTGTTTTATCACCTATGATTCGTCTCGCATTTCTTTCTGCCTTCTTTTCTTTCTCTTTCTTTCTCTGCCTCGTAAATGGTGCCACAATAGAGAAATTACACTAGATCTGGGATAATATAATTATTATGTTGAGTATTACATAACCATTACTTTTAGTTTTGTAACTGTACAATCAAGAGTTGTTTCAAATTAAAAATAATTTTCCTACGCCCTAATATTGGAATATGTGAACGAGCGATGCTATATCGAGTCTAATTTTTTTCTTTCTTTTGCTTTGTCGTCTATAGTTGCGAAAATAAAATCACTGGCACTGTCTGCCTTTTTATAGAATTGTCTCTATTACAGAAATATAATTAGCGCATTTTTCTACCTCAGGCTTCTTTAAAAACAAACCATGACTTACACAAAAGCCTGTAAAATCTGCTTCTAACAAACACTAATCAGTCTATTAATTAGAGTGATATTTTTTAAGTTGTCTGGAAAACTAGAAACTTTTCTTCTCTAAATTCAGGCAGAGTGTTATATCAAAGATTTTTTTTCTGTAAGAAAAAAGGTGAGAATACGTACAAGATGTATTTTAAATAACCTATACAGACAATCGTTTATCATTCTTATTGTTCATTAAAAAAAACGCCATAACAAAAGAGAAAATAGAAAATTCGATGGCACATTTTTTTGTTCACCATGCAACATACGTCAAGGCAATGTTCATAATTTTATACAGTCGCACTGGCAGACATCTTTGGAAGAAATTCTTAAAAGAAATCGCTATTTTTAATTCAACCAAAAAAGAAAGAAAGAAAACAAATTTAAATTGCGCCAGGAGTTTTCTTTCGTTTTCTTTCTTTCTTTTTTTTCTTTTTTCGGGATAAAACTAAAAAAAAAAATAAACAGTTGCCTTGGATTCTTGTCTTGTTACTGAAAGACGCAATTTTATAGAAAATTGGAACAGTTTCGCTGAAATACAAATAGCTGACAAAAGTGTAGACTAGATTCTTCTTTGTGCTTCTTTCACCTCTTCTGTTAAATTTCCTTCTGGCATCAATAATGCCGATTCTTTTCTTTGAGGAACATTGCACGTTCTCTTTTTGATCTCTCTTCTATCTTCATTCTTAGTCTAATTTTTGCAATATTATCTGACATCCATTTAGGTATTCTTCGTGAACTATAATTGAAGTATTGAAAAAAAGAAATACACAAAAAATAAAAATGTATTACATGTCATGCATTTATATATGAAATATATATGAAATAAAAATCTATATTTAATTAAACATATATATAATCGACTCTCCCGTCGAGATTCGACGTATGAGGGTCAAGCAGATCAGTTTCCAGGAAACCGACAGCCCGACACCGGCACATGAGATTTGATTATAGTGGTGAAGGCCTCGTGCAGGACCATCCACCCTTTTTGAAGGGACGAATACAGAGACCTGGTGCACCGAATGCCACAAGGTTCCCAAACGACCCTCCGCAGGTTTTGAATTCAGAGTTGTCCTTCTCCTAGACCAGTTGCCATCCAAGGCTATAGAACCCAGTCTGTCCTGCTATTTTACCCATAGCTGGAGGGAGAGGAAGAGGATTCATACCTTTCCCAAGGATATTAGCACGGAAGTGAATGTAATGGACTCGACTGGAATTCGAACTCCCGGCTCTGCGATTCCTCAATCCAAGCGGCTTGAGGAAATTATATATATATATATATATATATATATATATATATATATATATATATATATATATATATATATAATATCACTCCAAGCAGGGCAATAAAGCCAGTTAGACATTAAAGAGTTACTGAGTGTGACAGAAAACATTATTAAGG